CTGGACATAGTTATTAAAACATTAAGCTGGGTGTGTGGTCCATGCCTGAAATCCCTGTCCTCCAGAGGCCTGGCCATAAGTTACAGGGCAGCCTAGACAACACAGCAAGTCCCTGGCTCAAACAAACAAATGTAGCAAACATGTCAATACTTCAGTAGTCTGTCCAAAAGAGATAATGAGACAAATGTTCACTTATGGAGTTGCTTTGTCAGTCAGGCCAGACCCTGGGAGGAGATTCTAGCATGGCTTCATTCATTTTGGGGAATAGTGCAATACTTTAGATGCACACACCCCTCTTCTGAGCTGTCTGTCAGCCTTCTACTTAGGCAGCTTTTTTCTGCAACACGTGTGTATGTTTAGGGGCTGGAGGGATGATGATTCAGGAGTTAAGAGCTCTTACTGATCAGTTCAGTTCCCAGCACTCACACTGGGCCTGTAACTCCAGCTCCAGGAGATCTGGCACCCCTTTCTTGCCTCTGTGGGCACTTGAACGTGAGTGTATACACACACACACACACACACACACACACACACACACACACACACACACATATTCACACACAAACACTCACGAACACACAGTGTAAATAAGAATAAAATAAAATCTTAAAAAATACATGTATGTTCAGATTTCAGCCTCTTAGGGCCATCTTTTGCTCTCCTCATATACCAGCTGTTGGAAGAGTACTCAGCTCATCAAGGTTTCCTAATAACTATCTTCCAACGTTATATCTGGAATGAGATGAGCTTCCATAGCCTCTTCTACATTTGGCTGAAACAGTTTTGATACATAAAACCACAAACTTATTCTCCAGAAGAAATCTGTTGTCAAAGATAATCTCCAAGGGGACTGACTGGTCTGGCCACCCATTCTCAAAGAGCTAATTAAAACAGCCAAACTTAAAATGGAAAGCAGGAAAAGGAGATTTACTCAATGTGGCTGTGTTGGGAAGAGGAACAAAGATTCAGCCCAGCCCACATATCTGTCTTCAGAATCCTGGAATGAGATTCAAGTTTAAACAGAAAGCCAAGGATTTGCACATCTGTACAGTAACAGTCAAGGTGTCTGCTCTTCGCTCTCAATCTGGAAGGTGGTCTGTGGAGCTGTTGGGGGTGACAAATCCTTTCTTGTCTGGAGCCTTTCCTTCTCCCAACATGAGATTCCTGGGGGAGATTCCCATTTCTTTGGGGTCCATTGTTTCAATAGTCTGATAGTCAGATTGAGAGACACAAGTGTCCCTTTATTTATGACAGGCCTGTTACCATATTGGCCTCAAACTCCCTGTGTAGCTAAAGATGACCTAGAATTCCTTATCCTCTTGCCTCACCTCTCAAGTGGTAGTGGTGGGATTATAGGTGTGGGTAACCATGCCCGACTCTTACCCTTTTTAAAAATAAGTATTGTTGCCATGGTTGGTGGTGTATACCTTTTTTTTTTCTTTGGAGCCCTTCCTGGAACTTGCTTTGTAGACCAGGCTGGCCTCAAACTCACAGAGATCCACCTGCCTCCGCCTCCCAAGTGCTGGGATTAAAGGTGTGCGTCACGACCGCCCGACTTGGTGTACACCTTTAACTGCAGCACTCCAGAGACAGAGGCAGGCGGAACTGTGAGTTCGAGGCCAGCCTGGTCTACAGAACAGCCAGGGCTACACAGAGAAACCCTGTCTTGAAACCCCCACACCAAAAAACAAAAAGTGATTTCATTTGTGGCCTTCTTTGTTCTATTACTATAAAAACCTCAGAAAACTTGCTTCCATGTTGGAACATGGAACTTGGTGTAGCCTAAATCCATGTATGTTCCTGATATGCTCTCTCATATTTGACTCCAGAGTAGACCATTGAGGAACCACCCTGCCTCCAGCTTAGGCTTAAAAGCCATTTTATAGTAAAGACAAACTAAGTTCATTCCTGTTTATGATTAAACCTCTTTCTCAAGGACTGAGCAGTGCCCTATCTGTAACCTTAACTACAAATGGTTCTGTTCTGCATGTTCCAGGAATGACAGTCATGTCTTTGTTTCAAAAGCTGTAACATCTTGCAACCCTACTGATGATGACTACCTTGTTATGCCCACCTTGCAGCCTTGTCTTTTTTTCTGGAGGGACTAACTTGTTATACTTATGTTCTGCTCCTGTAACTCTGCCTATTTTGCCCATTAATTCCCCCATTTGGGAAACCCCTACCCCTATAAAAGCCTTGTCTTCCTCACATCCAGTGCTGACCTCTCAAACCTCTCCTTAAGTGGAGGCAACCCGTGTACACAAATAAAAAAGCTTGCTGTAATTAATTGCTTGTTTTAATTAACTTAGCCATGATGATTTGGGTCGGTGGTCTTTCTCCCCCCCCCCCCCCTTTTTTTTTTACTATTACAAATAAATCTGTTATTGTGAGTGGTCAGGGGACACAAAGCTCCTGAGGAGTTCCCATAATCTTTTAGGGACTTCAATTCAGGCCAAACTGAGATTTGTAGCTTCATTGTAGAAAAGAACTGGCTAGTTGGAGCCTAATAAAGACATTTTTAATATAAACTTAAAAGTGAAGGTTAAGAGAAAGAGAGGCACTCAGAAGAAAAAGCAATTCATACTCAAGTGTGGATATATGCTTCCTGAATGACAGTAGGGGAAAGTAAGATACCCAGTTGTAGGTATGGCTTCTAAATGGAGAGGCAAGATTACATGGGGGGGTATACACAGCTAGTATACCGTTTTCATGGCTTTCAAGTTATACCTCAAAGGCTGTTAAGAAACCTTCCCTCCCAGCCCTCTTTTGATAAGTGAGATGGCCCCATACATGCCTTGGATGGAATTACAGTCTGATAAGGTTAAAGCACCCAGGAGCCACTAGGGTTGCACAATGAGTGTGGTAATTTCCTTCCCCTGTAAATACAGTTTCTGATGAGATTCCTAAGAAATTTCAGACTTGCAGCAAGGGTAGGAGAAGAGTCTCGAATGGTTAGTGATTCAGTTAGTGATTGTGTTGTGGAATTCTTGCTTCTCTGCCGGTAGGAAGCTTTAACTGGATTCTAGGGTGAGAGGCTCCCTTTCCTCTGCATGCCCTCAATTTCCCCTGCCTTTCTATCCTGCTTCATTATGAACATGAACATTTAAGTGTAGGTGTGTGTGTGTGTGTGTGTGTGTGTGTGTGTGTGTGTGTGTGTAGTTCATCTTTTGTTTCTCTAGGGTGCATTTCTGATTGTGTAATTCTTACTTATGTTTGTGCCTGGCTGTTTTGTCATCTGCTGAAAGAGAGGTGTTAAAACCAACTAAGATTGTGTGTTTAGAGCTGGGACATAGCTCAGTGATAGAGCCCATACTTAGTATATGCAAGGTCTTGGGTTCCTTGGTACTATAGGGGTTGGAGAAATTGTGCTTTTTTTCGCCCTGCCAAGTGTTTTGAGCTATTTTATTTGGTGCATATATACTCTGTATTGTTATGTTTCTTGATGAAATAGCCTATTAACTTTTATGAAATAATCTGGTATCTCTTATCTGTAGATCTCCATATTTTAAAGTGTACTTTATCTGATAGTAATATAGCAACCAAAAGTCATGTTTCCTATGACTAGTGATTTTATGGCATATCTTTCCCCAAATCATTTCATACTTTCCATGTTCTTAAATATAAAACTTTTATATAAGTGTAGTATATATATTTATATATAAGTACATATATATGTATATATTATACTTAATATTTAAAGTATATTTCTAAGTGGAATATATAGGCTGAATTTATATATTAATGTGTATCTCTACACTTGAATAGTTATAATGCAATTATCTTTGCTTATATATATATGAAGAGAGAGAGAGAGAGAGAGAGAGAGGGTCTCACTGTATAGCACTGGCCACATAGAGAACTCTCTTTGTAGATCAGGCAGACTTGAACTCATAGAGATCTCCCTGTTCAAGTGCTAGTATATCATGTTCTACCTATCAGGATTGCTTTTCTCTTAAATAGGTACTTTTATTTAAAAGTTAGGTGTGTGATCCTAGGATAGTCGTACACACCTTTAACTGCATTGTGGGTTAGCCATAGTTTCTGGGTTGGACAAGACTATTGTGTTATATTTGATAGAAAACAAGAATAAATGCTGTTTTTGGGGGGAGGGGTGGTTTGAGACAGGGTTTCTCTGTGTAGCTTTGGAGCCTGTCCTGGAACTTGCTCTGTAGACCAGGCTGGCCTCAAACTCAAAGAGATCGATCCTCTTGTCTCTGCCTTCTAAGTGCTGGGATTAAAGGCGTGTGCCACCACCGCCCAGCGAATAAATGCTTATTTATATAGCATTTTTTTTTATGTTGGATATCACATGAATTAGTGTTTCTATAGCTGTGATAAAACACCATGACCACAAGCAACTTGGGGAGGAAAGGGTTTATTTTATCTCACATATCATGATCACAGTCCATCATTGAAGGAACTTGGGTCAGGAACTCGTGAGAGGCCATGGAGGAGTGCTCCTTACTGACTTGCTTCTCATGGCTTGCTCAGCTTGCTTTCTTGAAAAGAGCACTCAGAACTACCAGCTCAGGGGTGGCAGGGCCCACAGTGAGCTGGGCCCTCCCACATCAATCCCTACTCAAGAGAATGTGCTAAGAAAATGTGCTATGGGCTTGTCCACAGGCCAGTTTGGTGGGAACATTTTCACAGTTAACAGTCCTGATATTTTGCCTGCATGGATACTGTGCCTATAGAGGCCAGTAGAGGATGTTGGGTACTCTGGAAGTGTTGTTACAGATGGTTGTGAGCCACTGTGTGGGTGCCGGGAACTGAATCCAATTCCTTTGCATGGGCAAGACTTGTTCTTCACCACTGAGCCATCTCACTAGCCCAAAAATCTTTTTTTTCTAAGTAGCTTTGTGCTACCTCTAAAATACTGTTTAATTAGATGTAATTGGCCAATCAGAGGTTTTAATTAAACTAGGATGTTAGGTTTATGTTCAAGTGAAGTTATATTCACTTTCATATTTGTGTTTTCTAATTTCTTCTTTCTTTTTTAGTGAAAATGTGCTGTTTGGAATGGGAAATCCTCTTCTTGACATTTCTGCTGTAGTAGACAAAGATTTCCTTGATAAGTAAGTATGAAATACTTCATGTATATAGCATCTTGACATCACTGAAGAGAGAACTGACTAAACTGTGGAATTGGGCTGGTAGGTTGGGTCAGTGGATAAAGATGCTCCCTGCCCAGGCTGACAACCCAAGTTTGATCCTAGGCACCTACTTGGTGGAAGGAGAAAACTAATTCCTGTAAATTGTGCTCTGACCTCCACACACGTATGCGTGGCATGTGCACTTGGACATGCATGCACACGTAACACACACAATTAAGAAATGGATAGATAAATGCAGAAAGACTACCAATAACAAAAACTCTGTAGAATAGAATTTACCATATAACACCTTTAGTTGGAGGAATACTCAGGAAATTGAACTATATTAGTTCACTGTTATTTGAGTAATTCACAGTTCACCACAGGTTTTTGTGTGTGTCGGGGGGTGGGGGTGGGGGGATGGGGAGCATATATTTTGTTCATTCCTAATACTTTTTTCAGTTAAAATTTATCCTATAGTAGGTATGGTGGCAATTGTAATTCCAGTATTCAGAAGACAGAGTCAGGAGGTCCATTCACGTTTGAGGCAAACACAATAGGTTTGAGATTAGCCTGAGTTGTGTGAGACAGTGTCTGAAAACAAACAAAAAGAAGCCACACAAACTGGTGCTGATATAGCTGCATTTCCACATGCTGGAGACTAAGACTGAGACCTTACTTCACACTCTACACGAAAGTTAACTCAATAGGGAACAACACCCTAAACTTAAGAACTAAAGCTACAAAAATCTTAGAAACAGGAGTAAATCTCTGTCTTCGATTTAGCCCTAGATTATTAAATTCAATGTTAGTAAAAGAACAAGCAATACGAGAAAAAATAAGATGGACCTTATGAAAAATAGGAAACTTTTCAACATCAGTGGACACTATCCAGAAATTGAGATCTGGCTTGTAGTTGGATGGTAGAGTGCTTGCCTAGCATGTATAAGGCTCTGGGTTCAATACCAGCACACTGCACACACACACACACACACACAAACACACAATCAAGCCAACCCACAGAATAGGAGCAATTCTTATAAGGGTCTGGCATCTGATATTTAGATCAGTGGTTCTCAACCTTCTAAGGCTGCGACCCTCAGGTTGTGATGACCCCCAACCACATAATGATTTCATTGCTATTTTATAACTGTAATTTTGCTACTGTTATGAATCGTAATGTAAATATCTGATGCACAGGATATCTAATATGAGACCGACCCCCAAATGAGTTGAAACCCACAGATTTGATTGAAAGGTTTTATAGCTAAAAATCCAAACCAGGGTCAGTAGATGGCTTATCAGGTAATGGCATTTGTCACCAGGCCTGACATCATGAGTTCAGTCCCTGGACCCTAGATGATAAAAGGAAACCCACTCTTCCAATTTGTCTTCTGAACTCTGTCTCTGTCTCTGTCTCTGATGGAGACACTTCCTTAAGAGAGGCCCCTCACCCCAGGTGACTCAAGTTTGTGTCAAGTTGACGAAAACTAGCCAGCATATTGCTCCATTCCTTTTCATCCAGATATAAATAGAATGTAGGTTGGGGAAAATGTGTAACTGCTTCAAAACTTGTTCATTTTAGTTTTAATTAGTGTATTAATTTGCATTGATCTACTTTTTGAAAGAAAAGCTTGATTTTCTTCTTGACTAGGTTTTCAAAACCTTTCAAGTGTCAAAATCCATTTTGTGTGTGTATGTGTGGAAGGCCAGAGTTCCTGTTGGGTGTCTTCTTTATTGCTCTCCACTTATTTTTTGAAACGGGCTTTCACTGAACCTGGCACTTCATTTTATGTAGGTGTGTTGGCCAGTAAGTCCCTAGAACCCACCCCTCTACCTCCCTATGCTGTTGATACAGATGTGCCCCTTTGTGCTTGCCTTCTTTGTGGGTGCTGGGCATCTGAATTCAGGTTTTCTCACTGAGCCATTTTCCTAAGCCCAGTACTTCAGTTCTTAAATTGGAAAGTTGCTAGTTTGCCTAGAGTTGATCTGTTTTCAGAATATAATCAGCATTGTTGTAGTTTAGAAATATGAGTAGGGAAAAATGGAATATTTGCATACTTACCATACAATTTTCTGAAATATCCTTAGTTTATTTTCTTATTATAAATGTAGTTTTTCCTCTGAACTACAGAGAACAAAATAAGGATCTTTAATTGAAAATAAAAACAGAATTAAGTTAATTAGGTTAGATGTATGCAATTTGGCAAAATATCAGAACTGAAAACTAATAGGCTTATTTGTGATAAGAAACATGCTACCAGAAAGATCTTCTGTGGCATACAGAAGAGACAGTGTGGGTATGGGGGAAATACGGAATATGTACACACCTGCAGATGAGCAGTGGTCTAATATGGAGAGTAACAGGAAGAGGATGTATTTATAGGATGGGGAAGGGAAGGATTATATAAGGTAGGTTTAGTAGATAAAAGTCACAAAAGAGGAAGGAGAGAGTTAATGGAATGGTGATTGGGAGAAAGTGACATCATTAGAAGTGAAAATACCCTGCCTTAGACTAGTTGAAGAAATGTATATTTTCTCAGAGATCTAAATCTTTTTGACTGGGAAGTTGGTAGGCAGAGAAAGCATACATGAAATACGGTGTTTAATTCTAAAGTTGATTGTAAATTTTACACAATCAGTACAAATTATTTATAAATGAATAATTCGTATAAATAAACATACATTATAAATGGATATATGGTAGGCTTGAGTGTGAAAAAAATCATGAATGTCAAGTGAGATTGTATACATATAATTGTTTGGTTCTAAGACTGCCAGTATAAGTCTCACACACACTAGATAAAGGCTCTATCATTAAGGTGTATCTCCAGACCCTGCCCTGTCTTGTATTGTCTTTCTGTCTGTCTGTCTGTCTTTCTTTCTGATAAAGTCTTGGTATATAGTCCTGGCTGTCCTGCAATCTGTTATATTGACTAGATTGGCCTTGAGCTTGTGGTGATATAGCTTCTGTAGTGCTTGGATTTTTGTTGTAACTATGCCCTTCTCCCTGGCTCAGTTAATTGTTTTCTTTTCTAAGGCAGGGGCTTAGCTCTGCCCCAGAGTGAAGTAGAAATTGCTCCATAGCCCAGGCTGACTTCAAACTTGCTTCATAGCACAGGTTAACCTCAAACTCCTGGTGTCTTCCTACATCAGCCTCCTGAGTGCTGTGGTTCCAGATGCACACCACCATGTTTGGTTTGTTCAGTGCTAGGAATCAAACCGAGGTCTTTGTGCCTGTTATCAACTAAGCCACACCCCCTGATAGCAGTGTAGGTTTTATTACAGAATTGTAGTCTTCTCTTCATGGGTGTACATTTTCTGTGAGGTTTATTCTAGTAGTACTGATTGTAGTCACAAAAGAATCCCTGAAGTCCTAAAAGGTCAAAGTTCTTTCTTGAGACTTGACTTCTCTCATATATCCTTGACTGGCCTGGAATTCACTGTGTAGACCAGGCTGGCCTCCAACTCATAGAAATCTGTCTGCCTGCCTCTGCCTCCCGAGTGGTGGGATCAAAGGTGAGCGACACCATGTCTCGTGATCAAAGTTCTCAGGCTAAAATCCTGAAGTCTAAAAGTTTACCAAAGCACAGTGCTAAAACATTGAAATCTCAGGGTTTTAAATCTGGAGAGCACGCTGAGCAATTGCTGATGCAGAGACGTCTCCAGTATTACAAAACATCACAGGGTAAAACTATTAGAGACTGGACCATTGAAGATAATAGCCTTTAGTTTTTGCACTAATTGGCATTGGACCTAGAAGCCTCACACATGGCAGGCAAGTGCTCTACCACTGAGACACAGCCCATAGCCCGGATTTAAAAAAACAAAACAAAACAAAAAAAAACAACCCCTCAGGAGGCAGGGACAGATGGAGCTCTGAGTTTGGGGCTAGCCTGGTCTACAGAGTTCCATGATGGCTACACAGAGAAACCCTGCCTCAAAAAAAAAAATTAAATTAAAAAAGACTATTTATTTATTGTGTGTGTCTCTGCTTGCACATGCCATGGAATGTGCATGGAGGTCAGAGGACAACTTGCGGAGTAGGTTCTGTTTCCACCCTGTGTGTCTTTGGGATTGATCAAGTGTGTAGTTTCTTGGCAAATGCCCTTATCCACCCAGCCATGTGCCATCCTCTCTTCATAGACTCTTATGTTCCTACTGCTTCTGTCGGGAAAACCAGGTGTTTTGCCTTGTCTAATGGATGTCAATTTCAAAGCTACCTCTGCTGTTTGATTTTTAAAATGTGTGATGTTCTTGCTCCAGGTGGATCTGGAAATGGTAGAAGGTATTTGCACGTTTATGTATTCATGGCTTTCCAGAAAAGTCAAAACACTTTGTAAATTTTCATTTGAAGATTTAGTACACTTAGTAAAAATTTGAAAATGGTCATCAGTATGTGAAAAGAATCTATTTTCAATAAAAGGAAAAATATGAAAAAAGAAAGAAAGAAAATGGGAGTTTAATTGGTCATTTCCCTCTCCTGCTTGACAGCTCATCTTTCTGTTTTTCTCCGCCTTCTAATTATCTGCTTTTCCTTCCTTGGCATTTTCTTCTGGTTTAGCTTTACGAGGAGCAGGTGGTGTTTTATTCACCATGCTCTCCACCCACTCCCTCAGGAAGTGCCTCTCCACGGTGTGCACAATGCACGGGTCTTAGACATATTTTCCTCATAGTCTGAAGCTTACTCACTTTGCAGGGAATGTAGGAATATGTGTTTGGACTATTATCAGAGATGGAGATAAAGCTGAGCAGGACCAAGCAGGCACTGACTTGAGCATGACTACAGAGAACTATTACCCCTTATTTTAAACTTTTAGCATTATTTTTCTTATAATTCAGTGTGCTTTCTATTCATTTCCATATCATTTCTGGAACCGGAATTAAATTACATAAAGAATTTTAGAAATTTAGAATTTGTTATATGCAGTTTTTCAAAATTCAACTCCAGAAGTGTGATATCACAGCATTGACTTAGCATG